TTCCTCAACTGTAAAATGAGCTGGAGAAGGAAATGGCAAAGCACTCCAGTATCTCTGCCAAGAAAACCCCAAATGGGCTCACAAAGAGTCGGACACAACTGAAAAAATGACCAAATAACAACAACTGGATGGGACCAGCCTCACTGAGTCCAGCCCTAATAAGAAGCATTAGGACCCTCTGCAGTATGGTAACTTCTGCTCAGACACCTCTAAGGATGGGGAACTCATTACCTCACAACAGACAGGCTCTGCCATTGCTGACCTTCTCAGATTCTCTCTGCTCCCACAGCCACCAGCCTCCGTCATGCTCTTAACCATTCTCACCTTTCCTCTTACACCTTGATGCACTTGGTGTCAGACAGCTTCCCATCCATCCTCCCCTCAGCTGCTAAAGCACAGGTCAGACCTTGTCACTCCCCGGCTCAAGAAGCCGCCGGGACTCCCTATCACTCCTAGGATCAGCCAGCTACCAAGGGCCCTCCACACTCTGGCTGGAGCTGACCTTTCCAGGCTGCTTCACACACCCTGTGTTCCAGGCACACAGGATTCCTCGCCATCCTCCAACTCATCACTGTATCTCCCACCTCAGTACCTTTCCACAAGCTTTCTCTGACTCCTGGAATGCCATCCCTCCCCCTCCCCCTCTAGGAATCCTTAGCTTCCTCCAGGCTCAGCTCAGGTGTTTCCTCCTCTTCTTTCTTCCTTCCTCCTCCGTGAAGCCTTTACCCTCATGCTGGTGCTCTTTCCTACCTGTAAGCACCTGGTGTTTTCCTTATCTGTTGGTATCTCCAAGGAGAAGGTAAGCTCCCTGAGGGTAGATGCAATCCTTCTGTCTTTATGCTTAAACACTGTCTTCCACAGGAGTCCCCCCATGGTATTCTCCTTCTACTCTGTATGTATCACATGTGTGCCTGGGGATTTCCATGGTGCTCCAGAGGACCAGAAAGACTCCTTCTCTTCCTCCTCTTCCTCCTCCTTCACCTTTTCCCTAGTGCTCATCATAGGCACTAAAGAATAAATGCTTGTTAACTGAATGACTGGCACACAGTAGGAATTTAATCAATGTTTGTGGAAATGAATTGAATTAGAAAGGGCAGAGCCATCTAATAGGGTTCGCACTGGGCTGAGAGGCAGCACCGTATCCCACAGGAAACCTTTCCTGAGGCCCCCAGCTGCTAGTGCCCTCCCACCCAAGAAGACCTTCTTGTCTAGGGTATATAGATAGATTGATTGTGTGGGTATGTGTGTATAGTTGGCTAGACAGAAAGAGATAGGCAGGCAGGAAGAGGGTGAAATGGACAGAACAAAGCGGCAAGATCTGAGTTCAAATCCTGCTCAGATATTTGCGAGCTGTGATCTAGGGCAGGTTACTTTCCTCTTTCAGCCTCAGTATTCTTACCTGTAAAATGAGGATAATAATAGCACCCACCTCACAGGGTTTTTGTTGTGATGAAATGAGATAACAGATGTAAAACAATTTGCAAACCTGAAGGCACTGCCTAGACGCTAGCTTTTAATATTAATAGTCTATGTATGCTAGAATGCAAGCTCTCTGAGGGCAGGAAGGGTTTTCATTTTTGTCTTTGTATCTCCAGCCATGCCTGGCACACAGTGGTGCTTAATAAATGTTTGTGGACTTACAGTTTAGCTTTTACTTTTAGAGTACTTTCCTCAAAATAGCCCAGAAAGGGGTCCAAGTCATGGCAGCCAGGGAGAAGGGGCATCCTCACAGCCACAAGCCCGGTAACAACTCAAGTCTGTCAGTCTCTGGGTTACAAAGAACACCAGCAGGGTCAGATTCAGAGAGCCGGCTTCAGGGCTCCAGCTCTGGCTTTCTCCAGCTGTGTGCCTTTGGGCAAGTGTCTTGATGCCTCTGAGCCTCCGCTTCCTTCTCTGTGTAATGGGCTGGGGGTGCTCCCATGACTTTCATCCCAGGGGCATGAGGAGGAAAGCCTTTGTTAACTCCAAAGGCTTAGAGAAATGCTTTTGGGAAGGGAACAGGGGAAATGGGGGTTAAGGGAAATGATAAGGGAAGGAAAGGGAAGGAAAGGAAAGGGAAAGGGAAAGGGAAAGGGAAAGGGAGGAGAAGCATTTTTAGAGCACCTACTGTGTGCCAGACACTCTGCTAGGTGCTTTACAAATGTTGTCTTATTTGACACTTAGAACAACCCTGAGAGGTAGTTGCTGTTATTAACCCCCTTTCGCAGCTGAGGAAACTGAGGCAAACAGAGACTAAGTGATTTGCCCAGGGTCACACAGTTAGTTAGTGTCTGAGGCAGGATTTGAATTCAATTCTTCCAGACTCCAACACTGAGCCACCTAGCACGTGTAGACATGGCTGCCCTGCCTGCCTCCAACACTTCCTAGCTGTGGGACCCAGGCTAAGTCTCTCATTGTCTCTGAATCTCAGAGAGGCTCCTCCCCCTCTTCCTCCTCCTCTAGGAAGTGGGAACCTGGATTTAGAGTCAAAAGGAAAGTTGGGGCCGGTGGTCTAACCTTTTCTTTTTACAGAGAAGGAAACTGAGTCCCAGGGAAGTGATGGAGGAGAGTATAAGGCACAGAGCTGGGCCGATGATGCCTGTAATACCTGCCTCGCAGGGTTATGGTGAGATTCTGGTGAGATGAGGGATATAAATTACTTGGGGAATTTGAAAGCAATACAGACACACACATATACATCTATACACATAGACATACATACATGCATATACATACATGCATATCTATATTTTATTGCACCAGAATAAGGAGCTGCTAGTAAGGAAATGCCTTCTCTACCAAAGCAGACTCACCCCTACTCTGCAACTCAGAGAGACGCCTAGAATACTGAGAAGTTAAATGACTAAGCCAGGGTCACATAGCCAGGAGGGGTTAGCCACAGGATCTGAACCCAGGTCTCACTGGCTCCAAAGTCGACTCTGTCCTTTGTCCCTTGTCCCTCAGGATTATATAAATAAATGTCAATTATCATGATTATTCCATCATGCCTCACAATTCAAGTCCCATTCCGCTTTCCAGGCCTCAGTTTCTTTATCTGTAAAATGAAGGAACTGGACTAAATGATCTTTAATGTCCCTTCAAACTCTGGAGAAGATTCTCTGAAATCCTACAAGGAGCCCATATATCTCCCTGTACTCGGTCCTTCCCATACTGCTCCTCCTCCTTCCCTCTGGGGCTGATCCAAGGTCCCCTCTCCTGGCAGCCCCTCAGTTATCTGAAGGTAGCTCTCACATCCCCCAGTCTTTTTTTCTCCAGGCTAGGCACCCAGAGAGCCAGCAACTGATCCTTGTACGGTGTGATCTCTCATCTCCTCTAAATAGGCTCCAGCTTCTTACTATCCTCCCTCCAAGGTGGTGTCTGGGAGGGGCTCCAGGTGTGTGTCTGGGGCAGGAAGTGGCATGCAGGACACCCTCTCCATGGGTGCCTGGGAACCCAGGCTTGTGACTGGGTCCCTCCGCAAAGCCCAAGCACGTGGATAGAGGCAGTTGCATAAAGCTGACTTCCTGGATGGGGACCCACACCTACCTCCCATTCACCTGGGCCTCCTTTAGGAGGCTGGCTAAACTTAGAAGGAAAGAGGGAGAACCCAACTGGGGGCTGTTGGTGAGCATGGGGGGGATTGATCCTACAGATTTCCCAAAAGAACTCATTATCCTCCCCCTAAACCTACCCCTCCCAACTTCCCGCCTTTGTTAAGGACACCAGGTCTTCCCAGGACAGGACCCTAGGCGAGAAACCCAGGAATCATCCTTCATCCTCCACATCCAATGAGCTGCCAAATCTTGTCCATTTCAGGTCCAATACATTTCCTTCTCTATGCTCAGGGGGTCACCACCCTAGTACAAGCCCTTATTACCTGTCACCTGGATTATTACAACAGCCTTCTAATTGGCTTCTGTGCCTCAGGTCTTCAGTCCATCCACACAGCTACCAAAAGAACCATCCTAAGGTATAGGCCTGACTGTGGCCCTTCCCTGTCCAAAAGGAATCCCCCTTGCCTACAGGGTAAAAATTCTAAAAATCCTTATTTGTCATTCAAGACCCTCCACAATCTGGGTCCAACGTCTGTCTGACTAGAAAGAACACTAATAGCTTTCCTCCCCACATCACACACGCAGCGCTGGGTTAGCTGGAATCGATCATGCAATATTGTGTATTAGAGTTATCCATGCTGGTGCCTCGGCTCCAGGGCTGAGCACAGACAGGACTCTGCACATAGTAAGCTTACTAAATGTGGGAAGGAAGAAAGGAATCCGTCTTTCCATCACTCTCTCTCTCACTTGCCCCCTGACACAGGTTGGGCCAAGCTGGACTCTTCACAATTCTTTGATCCCCCACTCCTCCCTTAAAGGGAGTTGTGCATGCCCAGCGCAGGGCCATCTCCCCAGGATGCCAGTCCTGATTCCAAAGCCTCCTTCCCCAGGACACTTTGTCCAGCCCTCCTCTGCCCCCAGCGCCAATCCCCATATTCTACTTGTTTGGCCAAGCCCCCCTCTCTCAGTGAATGGAAGCTTCTTGAAGGACAAGGGCTGTTTTTTTTCATCTGGGCATCCCCAGACCCCATTCCCACCGCAGGCATTTAATAAATGTTGAACAGTTCACACCACTTCCTCCCTGCCCTGGCTTCTTCCTAGTCTCCAGAACTTAGAGAGGGGAGGACGGCAAAACTGGACAATCAGCAGCTTCCTGAAAATTCTGTTCAAACTTGGCCTTGGGAGGACCAGAGCTGGGTCCTCCGGACAGAGCCCGGCTTCTGTTTCTTCTCCCCATTGACTTTGCCCCAAAGTCTCTGGCCCTTGGCTTGGGTCTAGAGAAGGGTCTGGGGACCCAAAGGGCTCCCCAAGCTCTGGGGTCCAGCTGTGGCTCCTCGGTTTCCTTAGATGTCTAAATGGCAGCGTCGAAGTTCCCTTCCAGCTCCAAGCCCGGGATGCAGGGATGCTGGGAGCCTCACTCCCACCGCGACCCTCCCTCGGTGCCTCCCCATCCCCAGGCGCCTGTACCTGCAGTCGCTTTTCCGGCGGGCCCCCTTCCAGGGCGTGAGGAGGGCCATCGGGCTGGGGCTGGGGCGGGGAGCCGGGCTCTTCCCGTCTCCGGCTCGGCTTCGGGCTCCCGGCACCGCGCCCGGCAGCACCTGGACGGGATGGGGCGGGCCAGCCCGGGGCCCAGGTCCCTCCCCCTGGGCTGGCATCCCGGGCCGCCTCAGCTCCGGGATGGGGCTGGGGCCGGGGCCGGGGACAGGGCAGGCTACGGCAGGGGTCAGCACTGCGACAGGGGGACAGCGGCTGCCGTCCGGCGCGGGAGGGACAGCAGCCACAGCCAATGCGCTCTGCCCCGGGGACACCGCGGCCAGAGGTGTCTGAAACCCCGAGTTCGAATCCCAACCTTCTTGCTGTGTGACTAAGGTAAGTCACGCCCTCTCTGAGCCTCCACCTCCATCGCAAGGCTTATCTCGAAGAAAGTCCGTCCCTGCTCTGATCAGCTGTCACAGTGACTTTCTTAATCTCCCATCTGACCCTTACCCTACTTTGAGCAAACTCGGGTGGTTCTCAAATACCTCCAGGGCTTATAAGGCCCTTCATCACCTTTCTTCCCCCACCCCTTTCAACATCCTAGAACCTTAGAGGCAGCTAGGTGGCGCAGTGGATAGAGCACCGGCCTTGGAGTCAGGAGATCCTGAGTTCAAATTCGGCCTCAGACACATAACACTCACTAGATGTGTGAATTTCGGTAAGTCACTTAATACTAGCTTGGAGAGGGTGACATGGTCAGACCTGTGTATTCTGATTTGAGGAATGAACTGAAAAGAACGAGATAGGAGCTCTCTCTGCCTAAAGCAAAGATCAGTCTCAACAGTCTAAATGAAAACTAGTTTTGTTTTTTAGAGGTGTATGCTATTTGGATTTTTGACCTTCATAAGCACATGGGATAACAGATTTACAGCAGGAAGGGACCTCACAGCTTCTCTAGTCCAGCCTTCTCTCATTTGACAGATGAAGAAACTGAGACCCCAAGGACCCCTAATCAAGTGATTTGCCCTTGACCACACAGGTGTCAGAGGCAGACACTCTTTTGCCCTCAGCCTTTCATCTCATGGAGTCTCTGACATGTTGAACTCCTTATTGTTGGACCCATCTATTTCAACTTCTCCCCTAGTGTAGAACTTCCCTGCCCTGACAGGGGTCCCACAAGCCTCTTCTTAAACACTCAAGACCAAAGGATAAAATGCTCTCAATCACTATTGATTAGAACAACTCTGAGGCACCACCTCACACCTATCAGACTGGCTAATGTGACAGAAAAGGGAAATGACAAATGTTGGAGAGGGGAATGTGGAAAAATTGGGACACAAAAGCACTGTTGGTAGAGTTGTGAACTGATCCAACCATTCTGGAGAGCAATTTGGAACTATGCCCAAAGGGCTATAAAACCATGCATACCCTTTGACCCAGCAATACCACTACTAAGTCTGTGTCCCAAAGAGATTTTTTAAAAAATGTTAAAGGACCTACATGTAGAAAAATATTTATAGCTACTCTTTTTGAAGTGGCAAAGAATTGGAAATTGAGGGGACCACCTATCAATTTAGGAATGGCTGAACAAGTTGTGGCATATAATGATAAGAAATGATGAGTGGGATGGTTCCTCATCCAACCTGGGAAGACATATATGAACGGATGCAAAGAGAAGTGAGCAGAACCAGGAGACAACTGTATACAGTAATGGCAATATTGTAAGGATGATCAAATGTGAATGGCTTGGCTGTTATGATCAATACAATGATGCCAGGCAATTCCGAAGGACTTAACGATAAAAAATGCTGACCACCTCCACAGAAAACTGATGGAGTCTGAATGCAGACAGAAGCATATTTTTTTCACTTTCTTTATTTTTCTTGCTTTTTTTGTTGCAACGTGGCTAATATGGAAATACGTTTTGCATGATTTGACATGTATAATTGAGATCACATTTCTTACCTTCACAATGAATGGGGGAGGGGTGGGAGAGGCAGAATTCAGAACCCAAATGTTTTTTAATGAATGTTAAAAATAAGTAAATAATAACATTTAAAAGTTTCTTCTTCCTCTTCCTCTACTACCTCTCCTCCTTGTTCTCCTTTTTTTCCTCCTCCTCCTCTTCCTTCTTCTTCCTCCTTCTCCTCATCTCTCATAGAAACTCAGAATTCCAGAGCTAGAAAGGATCTCTGAGATGATTTAATCCAACCTGGCATACAACAGGCATATAATAAATGCTTTCTGAATGAAGGAATGAAGGGATCATATCTTCCACATCCCCAACAAGCGCTCCCACATCATCTAACTGGTGTTTAAGACCCCCAAGGCAGGGAGCTCACCACCTCCAAAAGCAGCTAATTCCATTTTGGGACAGCCTTAATCATTGAGAAGTTTTTCTAAAGAGTAAACATGCCTCTTTGCAAATTCCACCCATGATTCCTAGTTTTGCCCTCTGGAGCCAAGCAGAACAAAGGCCCTTCTCCACAGAAAGGCCCCTCACACACCTGAAGAGAGCTGACTGTCTTGCTTTGGTCTTTTCCAGACCCCAAACACGCCCAGTTTCTTCGGAGGATCCCCCCCTGGTCTGGTCTTTATACTGAGCCCTTTTGTGCTTAGCTGGGCTGGTCCTTGGACCTTTGAAGCCTGGAGGGCCCTGCCAGAAGTGAGATTGCCTTAGAGCCATTTTAAAAGCAACAGCTCCCAAAGGGTTTTATAACCATTCTCTCCCAGGGGCCCTTGCCCCACCTTTGGGAGGCAGGCAATCCAGGCACTCTCCTTCCCATTTTAGAGACTCAAGGTCCAGCAGCCAGTAATGTGGGTGAGCCAGAGCTTGAACTCTAGGGCTAATATCCATTCCACTATACCTAGTCAACTAGTCAGTCAACAAACATTTAGTAAACACTTATTATATGCCAGGCCCTGTGCTGAGCTCTGGGTGCTAATGGGGGAATATGATACGTATTGTGCCGCAGTGCACAGAGTGCTAGGCCTGACATCCGTGAGACTCCTCTTCCCGAGTTCAAGTTCGACCTCAGATACTTCCCAGCTGCATGACTCTGGGCAAGTCATTGAATCCTGCTTGCCTCACTTATCTCATTTACCAAATGAGCTGGAGAAAGATATGACAAAGCATTCCAGTGTCGCTGCCAAGAGAACCCCAACTGGGGTCAAGAACGGTCAGACGTGACTGAACAATGGCTAAACGACAAGAAAAACATATGAGAAAGAGACAGAGTAGATGGGAGGTCATCTGGGGGGGGAAGGAAGGCTCATGGCTTTATATGCCATCCTTTCATGTTCTGCTGTATATAAGGACATGCTCGTTTAGGGGGTCTGGGGGGGTCTTTAAATTTAGAACAAAAAATACAGTAAAATAAATTGTTTTTTAAAAATGGACTTATAGAGTCATAGATTGATAGCTAGAAAACACCTCAGAACCACCCAGGCCCACCCCCCAAATTTTATTTACTGGCTGGGTGACCCTGGGCCAGTCATTTCACTGCTCCATAACTCACTTTCCTACTCTGTAAAAATGGGGAGAATAGTACCTACCTAACAGAGTTGTGAAGATCAAAAGAGATGTTTGTGTATGTGTGTGTGTATAACACACATAAAAACAAAATATGTCTCTATATGTCTATCTATCTATCTATATTATATATATGTATAAAATTGTTCAGTCATGTCCAACTTCACGTGACCCCATGGACTCTGTCTATGGGGTTTTCTTGGCAAAGATACTAGAATGATTTGTCATTTCCTTATCCAGTGTGTCCCCATTTTACAGGTGAGGAACTGAGGCAAATAGGGGTTAAAGACTTGTCCAGGGTAACACAGCTGGCAAGTGTCTGAGGCTGAATTTGAACTCAGGTCTTCCTGACGCCACGCCCAGTGCTCTATCCACAGCACCACCTCGCACAAAGACACACACACACACACACACACAGAGCACTTAGCAAACATTAAAGTATTGTACATAAGTGCTAGTTATTATTATTTTACACGTGTGAAAGCTGCGGCTCAGTGACAGGAAGGCATTCCTCCAAGGTCACACAGCTGGCAGGTGTCAGAGTGAGATCTCCTGTCTCCAGGCCTGGTGATAACTACCTTCCTCTGCACCGTGCTCTCTCTCTCTCAGCTCCCTGGAGAGGCCTGGAGTCTTCTAAGGAAGGCAAGGTCATTACCGACAGGGGCACCAGGGACCCTTCAGGGAGGAGGCAGCACCTAGGCTGGGCTGTACCTGGTCAGACAGAGATGGGGGGACAGGGATCGATTCCAGGAAAAGGAAGTTACCATCACTTTGTGGGATGGACCCCATGAGCTCTTGCTGACCACATCAAAGACCTTGGTCTCTGGCACAGAGTTAGGGTCAACATGTGAGACGAGGGCCCCAGGCTGAACAGAGACAAGAAGGCACTTGTTTCCAGGGTCTCGGATCTCCCTCATCCACCAGAGACACATCAAAGGGCCGGGCCACGAAGGCAAAGCTGGCTGAAGAAGGCCGGGTCTTGGGACCTCCAGCTAAATGGGATGCCCCCTCCATGGGTGGGGGGCAAACTCCACCAGGGCTCAAGGACTAAGGCCTCCCCCATGATGCCTCCCTCCCCTGTGCTCTCCGGTTGACAAGGGTGACTGCAGCTCAATGTGGTGAGTCGGTCAGTCGGGAGCCCTGGGTTCTAGCTCTGGCTTTACCACTCACTCATGCTGAGACCACTGGCAAGCTGCTTCCCTCATTGGGGATCAGTTTCCTTCCCTGCAAAGTGAGAGGAAGAGGCAAAAACAGAACAGAACTGGACAAAATCCAAGGGCCAAGCTGTCGTGGTACCCTGGGTTTGGGGGGTACTCTCACAGAGGTCTATGGAAGGACACTTTCTTCTCCAAGATCAAGAGTTCAAGGCCTCCTTTCATGCTCACTTGAAAAGCGGAAGAAGCCAACAGACCTAAGAGCAGCTGTCGGCACTGAGCCCTGGAGTGGGGAGGGCTGGCCTTCACGTGCTCCAACCTGCCTCTCTCCCCTGAGGCGGCCCAATGGATAGAGCGCTGGACCCAGAGTCAGGAAGACCCGAATTTAAGTCTGATCCCCAA